GGGAAGAGGGCAGAAGCTTGTTTAGAGGATGACCGGATGGTATCTCTGAGCAGGTGACCCTGGAGCCTGATGAGTTGAAGGGTGTCGCCGTCCATTTGGAGGGCAGGCTGTTGGTCCGAGGGCATGGGTGCGCAGAGGCCTAGGGTGGGAGCGCACCTCGGGGTCCTGTCTCTAAGGAGCTGCAAGGAAGGCGGGGAGGCTGAAGCGCAATGGGGGAGGGAGAGGGCAGTAGGCGACCAGGGTCAAGGTCCCAGCAGCCGCAGTGGGGTGGGTGTCGGCAACGGCGCAGACCCTGCGCTCACGCAGGTCAGATCAGGCAGCAGACAGGAAAGATTGCGTTAATATCCGCTCATCGACAGATGCCTTTCCTGAGCCCTGAGCCTGCGGGACCTAAGGGAGACAGCGATTTTCCCTGTCTTCACCTGACTCGGGCTTTATTTATCTTTGGAATAACAATTTGGAAAACAAAACCAGAGAAAACCACCACAGGGCTTCCAGCCTGTTCCAGCCAGTTCAGCCTTGGCAAGGCAGTGGAAGCGGGAGAGACCCAGATGTTGCAGATGTGGGTGCTCCCACGGTGCGCGGGAGTGGGGAACACTAAGAGTTCAGTGCGGTGGACTGGGAGGCTCGGGAGAGGTGCCTCTGGGGAGCCTGACGGGCGACATCGAGTCATTGTCATGGCCGCAGAGGCACACTCTCAGATAGGCACGCCGCCTTCTTGGAGCCGGTACAATGATCTCCGACTCTGTCGTGCAAGAGGTCTGGTTGCACGCCCCTGGTTTTTAAAGAGGGACAAGTCCTAGTCCTCGCAGGGCTGCACCCTGTCACTGTCCCCATTTCCCTTAGTGTTCCAGTTCACCCCATCTTAAAACTTGGGTCCATTCAGGTGTGGTTTCATCAGCCATCACTGAACTCAGGCTGAATTGATTCAAAGCCCTGAAGAAAAACAACAACAAAAATAAATTTTAAAATTCGAGGCATCTGGAAATCCGGCTCAATGAATGCAGGGCAGGTCTTGTCTTTGACTCCTCCACCTCAGACAAGTGGAAATGTTTTTGCTTTGGAGCTTTTACTCATTTTTTTGTTTTGGTTTGTTTTTATAACATTCCGTACAATGCGTTCGTTCAATGGCATCAAGAAGAGTTGTACAATCATCACCACAATCAGTTGTAGGGCATTTTCTTCATTCTGTACTCATCGTTATTGGCTCCCCGTTTCCCTCCAACCTCCCCTGCCATACCCCCAAGGAACCTTTAATCCAATTAGGATCCCTCGAGGTTTGCCTGTACTGGATTTCATACACAGAAAAATAATTTAAAAACAAAAAAGTGAACAAGGGAAACTGAATTGAAAGTGAACAAGGGAAACCTCAATTGAAAAGAAAGCAGAAAATATGGAAAACGAGACCAAATTTAAATGGATGATAAGGAAAATCAAATGACAGGGCAGTACATTTTAGCCGAACTGCATCAACAACAATTTACATTTCAATACATTCTGCATGTTAGCAAGCTATTCATAACCCTGATCCAGGGTCTGAGGGGATTCACTGAATGGATTTGGGGTTTCTGCTGTCATCCATAACCTTAGGTGTTCATAATTTAAGCTCTGATGCTAGTCCCTCCTTTATAATTATATTATTTACGATTCTTGGATCACACAGGCCGGTGTGCTTCTTCCATGTGGACTTAGTTGATGCATCACTTTGATGGCTGCTTGTTTGAAAACAAACTTTTAAGATCCCAGATGATACATTTATTTTTAATAGCCAGGCACCATCTAGTTTCCTCACCACACTTTGCTATAGCACCCATATCTTCAGTGATCCCTTCGTGAGGTTGGAAGTTTAGCTCATTTTATAGAGAAGGCATTTAGACTATCTTTCTCTCATCCTCCTGTTTACCTGTAATGGACTGAAGTTGAGGTGTCAGGTGGGCTTTGTGCGTAAGGCTTCCTTCACTTCCCAGGAGGGATGTCCTGCAGCCTGGTTGTGGCCAAGCAGATTCAGGGGAGGTGAATCTTAATGGCCACTCCTTCTGCCCCCACTGGTGGTTGGCAGGCCAGAGGCATCTGTCAATGCTGGTGCCACCAGGAAAGCCCTTTATGTCTCCGTTTGGCAAGCCATTAATTCTAGAGAGAGCTGCAGGTTCCACTGTTCATTTGTTGTGTGATGACAGGCCAGTTTGTCATCTATAAAATGGGACTGGGTGTAGCTGTAGGGGTAGAGAGTATATTGAACTTGCATGCTAGTCACTGTCATTGTTAGATTTTGATTTCAAAGGGTTTCCAATGCAGCCACCTTAATCCACAGAGCCAAGGTCGCAAGCCACAGGAATAGTTGTTGGGAGATATGGTTTAGGGTGGAATTCCTGCAAGCTGTAGGGGTTTCAGGGGTCAGCTGGGGAGGGCCATCGGGAGAGAGGCAAGGGAGAAGCAGAAGGGAGAAGAGGAGGGAGGCCAGACCTTTCTGACTGGGTGGGGATTCCCCAGCAGAGCTGTCCTAGGAATCCCCAGAGGACAGGATGTGGCAGAGAGATGGGAGTAGGACAGTGCATTTAGAGGGGGCCTGGTCTGGATCCTGTTAGGGGAGCAGACCTCAAGGGTCCCTCCCACTCCCACCTGGGGAACTGCACCACAAGCAATCATGCATGATAATTCCGTGCCCTCAGGTGCAGCCGCAGCATCAAGAAAAGGCTCAAGCCCATTTCTGCTTGACAGTGGCTCTCAGGTACCTGATGTGAATGTCTATTCCAGAATTGACTGCTTAAATACCAGCACTGCTGAGTGTGTGTGTGTGTGTGTGTGTGTGTGTGTGTGTGTGTGTGTAGGCCACCGTGCTTCTCTGAGCTCCAGTTTGAAAAATGGGATCGAGGCAAACTTGAGCCGATGCTCACAGGCTCCTGAGATGGGGTCCTGCACTCAGAAGAGTCCAGAAAAGTTCTTTCCTTTCACCTGCCAGGATGTTTTGTGAAAGATTTTGAAATGGGCAAACAAGGTTCCTGGGTTCCTTTCAATGGGACACCAGGCACTTATCTGACACTGGCGGGCTCAGTGCCTCTCGGCTTACAATCCCTAAACTGTAGAAGGGAGCCCTGGTCGTGCAAGTAGTTGGCAGTTTAAACTCATCCAGGTTCTCTGCAAGAGAAAATCCTGAATAAAAGATGAGCCCCATACTCAGATCCTAACCAGCTCTGCATCTGTTGAAAGCATTATTGGCTGCTCATGCATCTTTTAAAACCATCTTTGAACGGATTGCAATGTCTGGCTAGGGCGTCTGTTTTGTAGTTCTGTGACTTTCCCTTGGAAGATTATGGTTTGTAAATGACTAGTCCAGATAAAAATGCCATGACCCATCTCCTGTCTTGTACTAAATTCCTGCCGCTCATTCTTCCCCAACACACACACACACACACACACACACACACACACACTCACATTCTTATCTCCAACCCACTCAGTGTGTGGTGGGGTTAACTGAAAACCACAAGCATCTAGATATTTTGTGTTAAATGAGGATTAGATAGCCATGTATGAGGCGGTCTCAGAGACCAGAAATAGGGACTGAACTGGGTACCGAGCACCGAGAGAACAGAATCTCCCTTCAGTGTCGTCTGTTTGGGGTTTTACACTGAATTCTCACTTCAGCTCAAGCTAACAGGCACTGGCCCAGTCTTCCTGGTTCTCCCTCTGAGAACTTGCCCACTGTCTGTTCTCTTTCTACCAAGCTGGGGGTGGGTGCCAGAGGGCTGGGGACGGTCCCTTCAAGACTAGTTGTGGATTTTTCAACATCGTGTGTAACCTGTGTTCCCTTTCAGTCTGCCCTGCCCCAGAAGACCCCCCTGAATCTCTGCTGAGTGAGAATTCAAGGTTCCCAAAACCTCCAGTTGGAGGCATTGAGAGGTTGCACTGTGGATGGGTGGGATGTGAGACCATGTCTGGTCTAGCCCGTGGCAGGAGAGGTTCTGTGATGACACGTAGTGGGCTCCAGGGAGGGTAATCACAGGCTGGTTCTTCTCTGTACCCTTGGGAGACCAAGCATGGGGCTGAGACAGCAGCCTGACATCCCCACTGCAGCAGAACCTGCTGTGGAACAAGACCCTACTGGTTCCTATGGGCTCTAGAGGTGAGAAGAGCTAGAGAAGGCCCCCGGGTGGCATGGTGGGTTATGAGTCCGGCTGCTAACTGCAAGGTCATCAGTGTGAAACTACTAGCTGCTCTGTGGGAGAGAGATGAGGCTTTCTATTCCCTTCAAGAGGCCCAGTCCCAGAAACCCCCAGGGCAGTTCACTCTGTCCCAGAGGGTCACTCTGCATCGGAATCTGCTGTGTGGCAGTGAGTGCGTTTCGGCTCTGGAGAGATGGCAGTCACACTACCATGGGAGTGCGGGGCACTGCATTCTATAGACCGCATTAGCTGGGGGACTGTGGGCTGGTCACTTTCCCCCCTCAGCACCTGTTTGCTCAACTGTAACCTGTGGAGGAAATGTGGGCAAAAGCGCCCCACCCTCAACAAAGTTGTGGTGGGCCAGCTAGTCAAGTCTGCCTTACAGTGCCTCTTACACGACAGGGTAGAGCTGCCCTGTCAGGCTTCTATGTGGTCTGTTTACAAGATAAGAAAACCCCTAAAGAACCCTGCTTGGGTTGGGACGGAGGTGGCTATTGAGAATACCCTGTGGTTGGGGCAGTGGGAAGGTCCATCCCAATGCTGACCCTCTCTGGGCCTCACCCAGACAAACCAGTGTTTACAACCAGCAGGCTGGTCCTTTATCCAGGACCCAAGATCGGCAGTGCCGAATGCTGGAGCTGACCACTAGACGGCCGTTTACTGGCCCCTCCCCTTTCCCTGGGAAGCCAGCTCCAAGGCCAGCTTCAAGTCCCAAAGCCCTTTCAGGGTCACCTACTGTAGGAACCTGTCCCTGAGTATGGTCTCTCAGGTACCCTGCCCCTGGCCAAGCCAAAGGACAAGCGGAGTCTTTTGCCCCCAGCAGACCCAAGGCAGGAGGGAGCAGAATGAAATCATTTTAATGGCATTGCAACACGTTTGGGCCAGGGGTCACAGAGGAGGGGACATTGTGTTTTTCATCTGCACATGTTGGCAGAGGTTCACAGTTGCACTGGGCAATCTTACAAACAGGGTTTTCCACACCGAGAACTTAATAAATAGATACTGGTGGGGGGGGGGGAGTCAAACTTCAGAGACAATGAGTTATGACGGTGATTATTTCGTATGCTGCCTTCTCTGAGACGAGAAGTGCTTCTGGTCCAGTGGACGACTCCTGGGTCCCCTAGGAGGGGTACTCATACTCCTCGGCACTGCGGCGGCCAAAATCCATCCAGCCCATGTAGTCCCTGTCGCTTATCCTGTGGCTGGGGTCCACGTGCTGCAGGTTCTTAACTGGGGACATCCGGCCGGAAGGAGCTGCAGAGCCAGGGGGGGAGAGAATGGGAGACATGATGGCCAAGAACATGGCTGGTTTGAGCTGTCATGGAGCACAACAGGGATTTCCAGGCAAAACCACAACATCGACCCTCTTCAGAGCGTCCAAGATCTAGCAAGATACTGAGTTGGCTGGACTACGCTGTAAAAAGCGGTAGGTCCATGTCCAAGAAACTAGAGTTGTTGCCAGAGGCTACTGAGCCAACGCGACTCACAGGAGCAAGCCCATGTGACAGGGGCAGACCTGCTCCATAGGGGTTTCCAGGCTCTGATCCATAGGGAAGCCAATCCCAGGCCGTTCTCCCTTGGAGCCTCCGGGTGGCTTTGAAGCGCCAACTATTGGTTAGCAGCTGAACACCAGGAAAGGCAATCTACTCGGGCAGTTAGTTACATGGGTTTGCTTGGTGGTCTGGAAGTCTCTAGGCGAATTCATTTCTGCCTAACTTTCCTGGATGGGTTAAGCACTCACCTGCCAACTGCAAGGCTGGGGATTCAAGACTGCCCCAAGGTGCATCAGAAGAAAGATCTGGTGATCTAGTCCCAAACAATCTGCCATCTGACACACGCAGGAGCCCCTTGCAGCTTGTACAAAGGAAGTGTCCAAAAGGCCCCTTAGGGGACTTGGGCGGCCATGAGGGTGGAGGAGTAGAGGAGCCCAGTGGCCCCTCACCTCTCATGAGCTGCAAAGGTTTTCTCTGACCAGATTATTTATTGAAGGGGACACCGTAGAGGCAATGACCTTATCTTACTGGGTCTTCATTTAAGCCACCTAAAGCAGTGAGAGGAACAGTGCCACAAAGCTCACATCCTTCCTCCCTGGGCCCCACGCAAGTCCCCTAGCCTAGAACTGAGTCAGCCCAACGCCCTCCAGCCCCTCCCAGACTCTCCCCAGCCTGCACAAAAGAATAAACAGGGGTTGAGTTGTTTCAGTGACAAGGCAGACCCTGCGTCCAGCATATCCTGCAGTCCCGTTCCCTGGAACAGGGGTTTGCCCCATCCTTCTACCCACACGGATCACGAACGCCCCCTCCAAGACCACCAACAGCCTGCCTGGTTTCCAACAAGAAGAGGCAAAAGGATAGCTTTGAAAAAGCCCGCAGCCTGCATTGCTGGGGGGGACACCCACAGAAGCAGGGCTTGCTGGTCCCTCAATGCCGTCCTCCTCCCCCCTGCACACTGTGGTGGTGCCCTCACCTTGCATGCCCTGTCCAGGGTCCTTACTCACTTCCCAGGGACCACACACAGGCAGGAGCTTCCACAGTCCAGATGAGATTCAGTGGAAGGGTCTGGCCAGTGTCAACGTGGAAGCCCAGAATAAGCAGGGCAGCTGGGAAGCCCGGTGGTTTCCAGGCAGTCTGGGCAGGGGGGCTTGGATGGACCCAGCCTGCTGCTGTCTGAATGAGGAACCTGGTGTGGGTCACTCACCCTGGTCGAGCCCTGGCTTTCCGAAGTGAATACTGCACAGACAATAGGGATGCAACACTGGGGCTTTGCTGGACAGAGGGCAGGGTGCACACTAATGGTTAGATGCCTCCCCTTACCTCCCCATGGCCACTAACAGAACTGCTTCTCTCCAGGTCATGGAAAGCCCTGGAGGTATTCCTAAAGACAAACTGCTGAGCTCTGCCCAAAGAGTAAAGGACCTTGTTCAGGACCTTTGAGCATTCTAGAACACTTTGCTGCTGTGGTTGGGTGTCCTAGAGTGGAGTTCTAATTCATAGAGACCCCAGGTGACAGAGTAGAACTGCCCTGTAAGGTTTTCTAGGGCGGTTAACCACAAGGTCAGCCTTTCGAGCCCACCAGCTGCTCTGTGGGAGAAAGAGGAGGCTTCGGTCCTTGTAAAAATGTGCAGCCTGAGGAACTCAAAGGGGGCTCTCTAGCCTGCCCCATAGGGTCAATCTGAGTCAGAATCAACTCCATGGTGGTGAGTTTGGTTTGAAATCTTTATGAGAGCAGGTGGCTAAGCCTCTCTTGCTTTACCAAAATTAGCCGAATTAGCCAAAAAGCAAAAGAGAAGCTCTGGGAGAGTTTTGAACCGCCAATATTTGGGTTATCAGCCAAGAGTTTCACCCCTGTGCCACCAAGTCTCCTCATAAACTTACATGGAAGCAAAGCAGCAGCAGCCACTGATTCAACTCCTAGCAAGACCCGAGGGCAGAGTAGATGTGCCCCAAAGGGCGTCCCAGGCCGCGATTGTCCCAGGAGCAGCTGGCTTCAAACTACCGACCCGTGGACAAGCTGCTGAACACGTGGACACAGCACCACCAGGGGACACGTCTGATACACTCTCAGAACAGGCACGCGATTCAAAGGAACGAAACTGCGTTGTGACGCATGTGTACTTCCCCCTGGCCCGCCTTGGTCACGTGTTTGTTTGCTAGCTCCCCCGGATCTGTGGGAGTTGGCAGCTGAAATTCCCAGTGACTGTCATCCCCACCTCGGGTGTTTGGACAACGGGCTGAAGGCAAAGGAAGATGCGCAGAGAGGAAGTGTGAGGGACAAACTCCCCCACTAAGGTTTGTGCCATCCAAGAGACTGTCACGCATCTATCCTTGTTTTGTATTCCACTCCTGGGACGTGTCTCAGGTGGGGAGGGAAATAAGAGAGTCGATTTTCTTCCAGAAAAAAAAAAAGAGCCCTGGAAGCTCCTGATTGATCAGGCTGAAGATCAGCCCACCCTGAGGATCAGACATCAAATGAGACCTTCAGACAGATCATCCGTGGGAGCTCAAAGCATTCTCAGGCTCTTTCTCTTATCTAACTAGTATCACCACCTCTTTAAATGTAATTTACAAGAAAGCAAAGCCAAGGGTGGCTTGGACAATTTCCCAAAGGGAAGAACAGGAACCAGCCACCACCCAGCTTGCTCGCTCTCTCTTGGAAATGCCTCCCATTGAAAGAGATCCCAGTCGGATTCATAGTAAACCGCAGGAGATCCTGGAGAGCCACGCCCTCTGCTTTCCCTTCTTCTCTCGAAGGAGCCCTGGCTAAGCTTGGCTGCAGTTCAAACCCACCTAGCATTTCCCCAGGTGCAAAGCCAAGCAAAACCTAACCGAACACTGGTGATCTGCTTCCAGGATCTGCTTCCATAAGAAGTCCAGCCAAGAAACGCCAATGGGGCAACTGTACTCTGTCATGGGGTCTATATGGGTTGGAATTCAACAATAGTCAAATCCACTAGAGACAAGAGCTTTCCCCAAAGAGATGCCTGCCAGCCCGCATCTCCCCCTGCCCCTTCAGGACCACCTGTGTTGGTTTCTCCCAGCACTTTGCCCCACAGCCAGAATTCTCCCCACCAGCCTCCCTAACAAACTGGTCAATCCTTTTAAGCCCAGGCCAAGGAGCACTTGAAACCCTTAGGGATTCTTTTCTCCTTTGGCACAGTTTGGTGCAAAGTGATGTTGTTACTTCTTTTTAAACTGCTGTTGTGAGGTCTCCCGAATCATTCTATGTTGCCAGAGGGTCTCCCCTGGCCAGTACCTGGTCGCCCAGGTAGCAGGGGCCATTGACTGGAGTTTGGGCTCCTTCTTAAGGAGCTCCACGTCAATTCAAAGGGAATTGAAATCTTATCTTCTGATGTCTTCATGCAATGACTTGAACTTAGCAATACCAAATGCATTTCAAAGAAAGCTTTGGAAAAGATTCTTCTCCCTCTTAAAGTCCCTTCTGTCTCCCCCCGCCGCCCCCCACACACCCTGCCCCTCAGAAACACAAATGTCTGGTGTGGGTGAGCTGGGCAAAGAAGAAGCCCCAGCCTGTCCCTCTAGCCTGCTGCCTGCTTTGGTCCCCAGGAGGTTTCTCCCAGAGGAGGAAGAGGAGGAGAGGACCAGGATAGGGAGCTCAGCTCCAGGGCAGACCCCAGGGATGCAGAAGGGCCATCCTTACCTTTCCTGGCCTGCTGGATATACCTGGCCAGCAGCGCTCCCAGGTGCGCTCGCGGCTCGCCGCCGTCCACCCTTTGCACTGCCCTCAGCGGCCTCTGGGGAGCCTCCTGGGCCCGCAGCACTCCGGGGTCCTCAGGGGGAGCGAGCTGCGCCACAACGGTGGCCACCAGCACCGCCATCAGCACGCACAGGCCCACGCCGCTGTTCATGGCTGCGGGAGAGCAAAGAGGGGCACTTAACAAAAAGGGGGAGCCCCGTGGAGTTGGAGCACCGGGGCCACAACACGGAGCTCGGATCGCATCGCGCCCAGGCGCTGGGGCTGGGCCAGATGCAGAGTCTGTCGGAGGGGCTCGCAGCGACCCAGCCTTCAGAAGGTCTGTGCTCTGCTTGCCCTAAGGACCAAGCAAGGTTAGCAGGGCGTTTGATCTCTACTAGAAAAGCGAGGGATTAAAGCAAACGTGGCAAATCCCCCAGATAAAAGACTCCTCTGTGAAAGCTGAGAGGTTGCGGAGAGAAGGTAGCTCATTTCCAAAGAGCGAGGAAGCAAGCATTCTTTGGGAGGGAGGTGAGTGGTGAAGGAGAGGAGAAGTAGGTTCAGTAGCTGGAGATAAGAGCCAGGTTCACAAAGTTTCTGCAGCATGGACCCGGGCGGCGTTGGCATCAGGCCATCACTAGCCAAGTGCCCGCATTAGTCAGGGTGCAGTGTAGCAACGATGAAATACACAACTTTCCTCTAGTTCTTTAATGTCCCCCCTCGCCCCCCACTATCATGATCCCAATTCTACCTTACAAATCAGGCTAGACCAGAGGACGTACACTGGTATAGATAGGAACTGGAAACACAGGGAATCCAGGGCGGATGATCCCTTCAGGACCAGTGGTGAGAGTGGTGATACCAGGAGGGTAGAGTGAAGGTGGGATAGAAAGAGGGAACCCATTACAAGGATCTACATATAACTTCCTCCCTGGGGGATGGACAACAGGAAAGTGCGTGAAGGGAGACATCGGACAGTGTAAGAAGTGATAATATAATATTAATTTCTAAATTATCAAGGGCTTGGGAGGGAAGGGGGACGGACGGGGAGGGAGGAGAAAATGAGGAGCTGGTACCAAGGGCCCAAGTCGAAAACAAATGTTTTGAGCATGATGATGGCAACAAATGTACAAATATGCTTGACACAATGGATGGATGGATGAATTGTGATGAGTTGTACGAGCCTACAATAAAATGATTAAAAATAATAATTTTAAAAAGCAACACAAAACCAAACCTCACTGCCCTGGAGTCAATGTTGACTCATAAGGAGCCCCTGTGGGTTTGCAAGACTGCAACCATTGACAGAGGTGAAAACCCAGTCTCTCAGGAAGCTGCTGGTGGTTGCAAACCACTGACCTCGGGGTGCGGGGCGGGGGTTGGGGGTGTACCAGCCCAACACTTTAACCACTACATCTCCGGGATTTTTGGAGACCAGTAACCTGCGCCCAGCCCTCAGTCACTGACAAAGTGCTATCTGCATTTTAGACTCCCCCCGCCCTCCCGCCTGCACGTCTATCCCCAGAGCGTGGTATTGACAACAGGACCGGACATCCCTTATCATCTCCTGGGATCTTATTCCGAAAGATGGCAAGGGACACCGCACCTCTGCGTAAAAATCTAGCACATTCCAGCTCCAATGGGAATCATTGGCCAATGGCTCGCATGGCGTGCATGGCTCCCAAGGGCGCCAGGGGCGCGCGAGGGAGGGTCGCTAACTCGCCTCGCCCACCCAGGGCACGCTGTGCTGTTCGACTCAGCGCCTTCCCGCGGACTGTTAGCAATGCCATTCCTGGGGCAGGAGAATACACTGCCAAACTGAAGATGGCATCCCTCGCGCCAGAGACCTCCGGCTTGATTCCGGGTTGGCGAGAGGGCAAGCCTACCTTCGGAGTTGGGCGCCGAGGCTTCGGGTTCGGGTTCGGGCTCGGGCTCGCGTTCGCAGCGGAGCTCCCTGTGGCCGAGCCAAGTTCAGGCTGGCTGGGCAGCCGCCTCTTAAATAGCTCCGCCTGGCGCGGGCGGCCACTCAGCACCTCGGCCCGCGCTGACGCACGCCGGCTGCAACACGTGCTCAGACCTCGGCCACCGGGGGACCACCCGGAGGAGTGGCTCTGGAGAGGAGGGGGCGGGTGGCCCAGTGGGATCTGGTTAACCCCTTCCTGGCGGCGTGCGGGCGACGGGCCCTCCTCTCCATCCCCACTGCTTCCTTCCCCGACTCTGTCCAGCTCCTCCCGTGCGCATCCCGCTCCCGACTCCATCCTTCCCATGCAGGCACCCCGGGGGTCGCGTCTCCTCCGGGAGGAGAGCCGGCGTGCAATCCCTTCAGGGGCCCAAAATGGGCCAGAAAGGACTACTGGGGCATCCCGGGCTAAGAGGACATCCCAGGCAGCGCCCGTCTCCTGGTGAATGGGTGACCCGCTCTGGGAGAGGGGCCTGGGCCTGGGCTTCACTTTCTCCTTAGGCTCATTCGAAACACCCTCGAAGTTCTCCAAGACGTGAGGGATTAAGTGTCCTACAGCTAGCTGACTGTAGGCGTCCTGGGCCTCGATTTACCCACGTGTCTAACGGGCATGGTACCACCTGGCTTTGCGCTCAGGGGACTCCAGCTGGGGACCGGCGGCTTTTTCTTGGAAGCAAAGGCGTAGCCACCCGAGGGGTCCACTACTCCTCGCCGCCGCCAAGTGGCGCCAGCGAGCGTCTCCGAGAGTGCGAAGTGTCCCCATTCAAACGCCGGTTCCTGGGGTATTCGAATCTCACCTCCCACCTCCCCAACACCCCAGGCCTAGCAGGAACTCGGGCTGCTAGGCTTGGAGATGAGGACTCCGATCCCACCACTCTAGCCAAGTGCGCCCCTGGTCTTGTCCCATTTGAGGTCTTTGGTCGCCTCGCCCCTGCAGAGGTACCCGAATGCAGGCTGGAGACTTTGGAAGGATTTCCTTGAAATCGGAGTCCCTATTCAGTTGCGTTTTCCAGGGCTCTGGGACCCCTGCACGGTGACTGAAGTGCCCCTTCCCCTCCCAAACCTGAGACCCAGCTGCTTTTCTGCAACCTCAAACCCCAAACTAAAGTCAATGCCATCTCATAGCGACTGTATGGGACAGGGTAGAATTGCCTCTGAGTTTCTGAGAGGCATCGCCTCGGTGGCAGTGAATTGGTTTGGGAGAGGAAGGGGCACTTCAGTCGCCGCGCAGGTGTCCCAGAGGCAAACTTTTGCTCAGGCTTCCTGAGGCCTATGCCTTTGGGACCTGTTTCCCCAGCTCCGCCTCCACGCCCTGCTTCCACGCAGTTTCCACAGTAGGTCGGTGTTCCTCCCTCAAGCCTCAAACTCCCCTTTCCACTTCTGTGTTCAAAGCTCGGCCCTCCATGGAGGAGGGTCAGCCTGGGATTCGAGGGTCTGACCTCCAGGAGGGGAACCCTCAATCCTGATCTCCCTGTTAGGACCCCTGCTGGGCTGCTAACTGCAAAGTCAAATCCAGCAACCACTCTATGGGAGGCAGAGAGGCTGTGTGCTCCTGTGGAGATTCAGTCTGGAAACCCCAAGGAGCAGCTCCACTCAGTCCTATGGAGGCAGTATGGCTTGCCATCAATTTGATGCCCACGGGTTTGAGTTTGGTGCCTGCCCTTCCTGAGGAACCAGAAGTTGCTGACTCTTTTTTAAATGAATCATTTTATTGGGAGCTCTTATAGCTCTTATAACAGCCCATACATCAATTGAATCAAGCACATTTGTACATTTGTTGCCATCATCATTTCGAAAACATTTTCTTCCTACTTGAGCCCTTGGTATCTGGTCCTCTTTTTCACACTCCCTTCCTCCCTCCCTCCCTCCCTCTCACCCTCATGACATCTCGATAAATTATAAATTATGAGTATTTTCATATCTTACACCGATCCCTATCTCCCTTCACCCATGTTTCTGTTGTTTGCCCCCCTGGAGGGGGCATTATACATTGATCATTGCAATCAGTTCTCCCTTTCTCTCCCTTCTCCCTCCACCTTCCCCCTACCCTCATGGTATCATTACTCCCATTGCTGTTCCTAAGGGGTTTATCTGTCCTGGATTCTGGGTATCCTGAGCTCCTATCTGTACCAGTGTACATGCCCTGGTCTAGCCTGAACTGAAAGGCAGGTCTGGGGTCATGATAGTGGGGGGTGAGGAAGTCTCAAGGAACCAGAAGAATATTGTGTGTTTCATCAGTGCTATACTGTGCCCTGGTTGACTCATCCCTTCTTTGTGACCCTTCTGTGAGGGGATATTCTATTGTCTATAGATGAGTTTGGAGTCTCTGCTCCGGCCCCCCTCATTCTCAACAATATGTTTTTTGTTTGTTTGTTTTGGGTCTTCTGATACCTGTTACCCAATCCCGCCAACACCTCATGATCTCACAGGCTGATGTGCTTCTGATACGTGGGATTGTTACTTCTTTGTTATATGGCCACTTGTTTAACTTCAAGCCTTTAAGACCCCAGATGCTATATCTTCTGATAGCTGGGCACCATCAGCTTTCTTCACCACATTTGCTTATGCACCCATTTTGTCTTCAGCGATCATGTTGGGAAGGTGAGCATCCCAGAATGCCAGGTTGTTAGAACAAAGTGTTCTTGTGTTGAGGGAGGGCTTGAGTAGAGGCCCTAAGTCCATCCACTACCTCAATGTATTGCCATATAAATATATGTACACAGGCCAATACATGTATTTTATGAATTAATGTATTTACGTATGTACACACCTATGCTTATACTTTGGTGCATAGCTTTGCTTCGTAGATCTTTCCTCTTTCTTTTTCCTTCCTCCTGTCCCAACATCATGATCATCCTTCTTCTGCCTCTTAGTAATTCCTCTCAGTTAGATTGCTTTTGCGCCAACACCCCCAGGATCTCTAGGTCCTCCTTGTTGTTGATTTTAATTCCCTAGTTGTTCCCCTGTCTATGGTGTTGCTCCTTTCCCCCACCTTCTCCTCCCCACAGGTCCCTCCAGAACCTTTGGTCCCATTGCTTTCTCCTCGAGCTTGTTTCCCTTGCCTGTCTTATATAAGTAAGCAAACTAACAATAGCAGAGGCAAAAACAAAGAAAGAAAGAACACAAAAGATTGAATAAAAATGGGGAAATAAATAAATAGCAACAACAACAAAAACCTGAGGGAGCACACATAATTCCAGATCTGTCTGCTGACCTTTATGACAATCTCCCCACCGTTCCTGGGGAGTTCTCAGAACTGCCTCTCTTAGCCTGAAGTCTATTTGGGGGGCTCCTCAGGGGTTTTGCTTTGCTCCTGTTGCTGATCTATTATGTTCCCTTCTTGGTTCACCCTGCTGTGGGGGTTCAGACTGGACTAACTCCCCACTGTGCGTCCCCAGTATTGCCCTCTCTCGTGATGTGCTCCAGTGAGGGGACATCATGTCTTGAGCTGTTGTCAGCCCTACCAGCCCTCTCTGTGTCTTAGCAGCTCCGTGTAGGGATATCATCCTTAAGGACATGGTGTGTGGATATGGGGTCTAGAACCTCACTCTCTCTTTTTCCTTCTTGGTTTGCCTCTGTGTGGGCATGGGAGGCTGGCCCCTCTCCCTAACCTGTAGATTTAGTGTTGTCCTCTGTAGCCCATACTTCTAGGGAAGGGGTCAGTTTGGCTCTGGTAGGGGCCAACCCTGTAGCCCTCTTTGTTCATGAGTTGTTCCACATGGTTACGTTGCCCTCAAGGGTTGGCACACCATGGTGGGGTCTGCATGCACATTCCCATATCTGTGGAGACATAACCAATACTCTTAGGTGGTTAGTGCCCTGTTCCCCCGGTACCATCATCTCCCCACCTGCCTTTTCTCCCTACGCTTTCCCTTCTTTGTGTTGGAATGACATGTACATCCTTGGGTTTGGCTTGTCCCTCACCCGACTGCCTGCACCTCAACCTGCATAGTGTGAGAAACATGGCTTTTCTTCTACACCTACTGTGCTGATTATACTTACCTCAGTGGACTCATGCTGTACTTTTCCTTTTGTGACTTGCTAACTTCGCTTAGAGTAATTTCCTACAACTTTTCCCATGAGATGGTGTGCTTCATGTGATCATCAGTGCTTTCTAGTGATGCGTAGTACTCCATTGTGTGTATGTGCCAGAGTTTTTTAATCCACTTCTTTATCAATGTAAATTTAGGTTGCTTCTAATTCTTTGTGATTGTGAATTGCATCACAATAAACATTGGAATGCAGATGACTGTTCATGGTCTATTTCTTACCTCTTCTGGATATGTGCCCAGCAGAGGGATCACTGGGTCTTAAGGTAACTCAGTTTCCATTTGCTTTAAATATTGCCAGATGGCTTTCCACAGTGGCTGTACGTATCTACAAGAAGAGTGGAGGAGAGTTCCTATCTCACCACATCCCCTCCAACATTTGTTGCTCTCTGATTTTCTGATTTGGGGTATCCACAAAGTTCTGAGATGGTATTTCATAGTTGTTTTAATTTGCATTTTTCTGATGGCTAATGATAAGGAGCATTTTCTCTTATGTTTATTGTCCATTCAAGTCTTCTGCCTAGTGAAACTTCTTTTCAGGTTTTTTGCCCACTTCCTCAGGGGATTAACTGTTTTCTTCTTTTAGTAGGCTAGGAGGATATTGTAGATCTTTGTCATAAGCCCTTTCTCTGTTGTGTCATTGCTAAAATTCCTCTCCTAGTCTGTGGATTCTCTTGTTACTCTCTTGGTGAAGTCTTTGGATGCACACAGGTGTTTTATCCTTAGTATATCCCACTTGTCGATTTCAGCTTCATCTCTGGGTGTGTACTTTTCCCTACTAGAGTTAGCCTATCTATTCCTTTGAGGTAGTTAGTGTATTGTGCCAACCTGGCTGATAAACATATGTGGGGTTAATTGGAGGGCGGAGGGATAAATGGCTCAGTGAGCCTGGTCTTTCTAGTTCTCGGGTCTCTTGCTTTCTGATGGTGGGACCAGGGTGAAACTGCCTTAGCCAGTTCCCTGCTTTAGCTGGCAAGGCTCACTTCCTGCAAGACATCCATG